AAAAAAAAAAAAAAAAAACCTCTTGAGAATATCCAGTTTATAGAAGGAAGGCTCAACTCTCTTTTTTTCTTCGTTTTTGTTTTCTTCAGATTGGTTCGTATTTCATGACAAATCTGTGTCTAGTTGTCATAACAACACAATTCCAAGAAACCAAGCAAAGAGAGAATGATTTAATGCGTCAGAGTCGACGCAAACACGCAACAAGCACTAGTACTATAGCAAGCAGTCGGTTCGGCCGCGATGGATGTTGGATAGAAATACTTAAATATATTGGACACGTGTTTCGACGAACAAAACGTCGTTTGGGCAAAACAATCAACATCAAATGTAGTAAATCAGCTACTCACAAAAACCGCGTTGCTAAGAAACGAAAGAGACGGAAGAAGAAGCTTGTCTATCATCACCACCATCATCATCATCACTACCATCATTTTCACCACCATGTGCATTGCCCGGGGAATGGACAATATCTTGATGGATACTACCCTCTACCCGAGGGGTACTTAACTCCAAATCTATCAACTGTAGACTTTAGTACTAATAACGGACAGTCGGTCGATATCATACCGGGGAATACTCTCACCATCCCCGGTCAAGTACCGACCAATAATTTCTATCAGGGGGAGGGTAGGGAGGGTGATGAAATTCAAAATGGCGCCGATTTGCCAGGCACGGTGCCTAATATCTCAATAGTTGCAGGATCAGCTTGCTCTGTACGGCCTTCGACTACACCTAAAATGGGGGAGATGGTCACTATGGCAACGGCGGCTGTGAATATTAACGGCCAGCCAGCTTTGTCGGACGTTGCAGCGCATTCCTTTGTTTCAGCGGCATCACTGTCAAGCGCAGCCGCAACTGCTACAGCTAGTGCTGCCGCTGCTTCGATGATACAAAACGCGTGTGAATGTGCTGTCAATCACGCGGATAAGGGAATCAATGTGGAGGAGTTTGAATCTGAATTTGTCTACGAGGGAGAAGAATCCGAGACTGATTACTCCGATGATGACTTTGACAAAGACGAACGGAAACTCACGCCATTGAGGAAGCTTCGACATACTTTACGAGTCTGGGTGGACAGCAAATGGTTCATGTATATCATCATGGGAGCTATATCTGTCAACACTTTAAGCATGGGGATCGAGTACTACGGACAGGTAAGACTGAATGGTAGCCATGTTGGAGGACAGGGATAATGCGTGGCAAGAAAATGTTTTTGCGCGACAAGGAAATGTTTTTTGCGCGACAAGGAAATGTTTTTGCGCGACAAGGAGATGTTTTTGCGCGACAAGGAGATGTTTTTGCGCGACAAGGAAATGTTTTTGCGCGACAAGGAGATGTTTTTGCGCGACAAGGAGATGTTTTTGCGCGACAAGGAGATGTTTTTGCGCGACAAGGAGATGTTTTTGCG